AAGTTGTGCACGAAGGCCATGGCTAGGTTGGCCCTGCGTCCCCAAAAAAGAAAAAAAACGGTGGATGGAAAACGGTTGGTTGCGATATCGACTGAATGTATATTTGTACTGGCAGCAGGAGCACAGCAGGTGCCAAGCAAATGCACCGACAGCGAGGTTGGCCACCCTGCTCTCAGTCTTCGCAGGCGCCTTGTTTTGGTGACAACCATGGAGGTGCCAGATGTTTCAACTCGCTCACAGGAAAACACAAAATTCTCGCTAGAACTCGTTACCTGGCCATGCCGAGGGTAGCCTCAGCTGAACAGGACGCTAGCGCATCCCTCGCGAGATGGACGTACCGCTGCACCTGTTGTTCCGCGATTGAGGAGGGCCATGCGTTCAGTTCGTTGGAGCACAGGACGAAAAGAACGGGTGTCGGCAGAGGTGTAGCGCTCTTGTTCCTTCTGCTACAACGTGGCTCGAAATGAGATCTAGACGGATTCTTGGCTAGCCACTCGAGAACGGTGCCCAGCACTGGAGCAACATGCCTGCTGCACTCTGCCGTGGCCACCAAAGAGCGGCGTTCGAGTTCCCACCCACATGTGGCAAAGGGTATCCCCGCACGAGAGCACCGAGGGCGATCGCGCACCACAGGATGCACGTAGATGCATCTCGTGGCAGCGCTGCACCCCTAGCTGTCACGGCCTTACGCCAGCACGCCTCCTCTGTCCGGATGTTGCCGCTCAAGGGGGTCTCTTCGGTATCGTCCTCCTCCACAACCCAGCCACCGGCGGCGGCAGGAGAAGGCCAACACGACGCTGCCCCTCGCTGATTCAGCAAGTTGGCCCGCATGACACTCACCATCGCGCCGCGGACGTCACTGTCGAGAGGGACCGAACGCACGCCGGGAGGGTTAAGTGCGAAGAAAGGCACGCTAGCGAAAGATGAGAAAAAGAAAATTTCGGTCTCGGGGGAACGAGGCTTTCTGCGATACGGACAGCATTATTCGCGGGAATAATCAAAACACAAGGGACGTGGGTACAAGACCGAGGCATGACCGGGTGGAATCGCTGCCGTCATACATACCATGTCGTTACCATTGTTGGTACTTCCGCGCGGTGCTATCAAGAGCCTCAGCAGCGAAACCGCAAGCTTCTTGTTCTTGTGCGGTATGGCCACACCTTGGCTATGCCCCGGCGAATCGCGTAATAAATTACACAAACTAATGCCTCATCGGTTTGCAAAATAAAGCAACGCAACCAATAATACGCCTGTCGTGCTTGCCGTCGATCCGAAAAAACGGGGCCGCTAAAATCATCCCTGAAAGCGGGCTGCGAGATTTCCGAGGCCAGCATTGGGACCGACCGGCGGAAGGTTCCTCAGCGAGGACGGCAGCTGTTTAGCCGACGACGCGATCCCTCCTTTACGACTACTTTTTGTCCCGTGACCGTTGTGGAACAAACACACACACACACACAAGCACCTCTCGCTCGCTAGGGGAAGGAAGCCCAAGCAGCCGAAAAAATCTCCCAGGAGTTCATTCTCCAGAAGGCCTGGTAGACCGGTTGCCGGGGAAGGGCTGAGCCGGGCCCTGAGAGAGACGAGACGGAGCGTTCGAACCCGCGACAAGAAAGCGGCACCGGCGGGGGCGGGGCGATGTCGGGGAAAAGGAAAAAGCCTGACACACCGAGAGGCTTCAGAGGATTCCCGGCTATCTCTGTCCGGCGAGAGACTTTGACGGGCGCAGCACCCAACACCAAGTGCTTCTTTTGCGTATTATACATCGTGAGGTACATACATACTTGCTTTGAAGAAGATATCGTGCACGCCCGCCGGCCGAACCTCAGAAGAATCAATCATCAGCGATTGCACATCGCATGAGCAGTATGTACTTCCTTCACCTCTTGAGCGGGAGCACCAAGCCCGTGGCGACCCCAACAGCCGTCCCCGAAACCCCGCTCACGGTGCTGCGCGGCTCCCCCGTCCCCCCATCGCCGGCGTCTTCGCCCGCCCCTTGGCCCGTGGCCCAATAGCTTAGGCCGGCGGGAAGCGAAAGTTCTCGTACCTCCCCTAAGGCTGGAACCACGGTCGTGATAATTGAGGAAGACATCCCCGGGAAGGACCTGATGCTGTAGTGGCACTCCTGCACCCCCCTCGCGGCACAATAGCTGCCGGCACGTCGCCGGAAGCGAGGGAGGGGGGAAGAGGTAGGTGCCGGAACGTGTCAAGTCAGGCTGGGAATTGCTGTGTGGACGTGCCCGCGCTTGCTTGTGTAGTCTCAACTCAAAAACGAAGGTAGGTAGGGCTCGTCTGTGTGAGACATTAACGTTTTCCCTGCGAAAAACTGGACAACAAGCAGGCACGCGATCACAGATATTTAGCGGTATCTACAATAATAATAGCATCCAACCGTCCTCGCCAAGGCGCTGTATAGAGTCATGGATCGAATGAACGAATGCCGTGCGATGTCGACCCCCTGTTCTACACACAACTTATCAAATGCATGGACTTGACTATGCGTATTCTAAGCATACATACGCCCATCTTTTCTTCAGTCCAACATGCGGACATATATATGAAACCACCGCAGCAAATGAACCAGCGATTGAGGAAAGGCCATCTGTATGTCATCGTACTTACTTGTCGGCACGGAAGCCTCTTTGAAAAACAAGTTGCGTCATGAAGCGCATGTGGAGAAGAGTGTCGAACGTGTCAGCAAAACCGTGTCCGCTTCGAGTAGCGAGACAGCGCTCGAGCGGTACACCAACAACACGCTCCTCCTACTGTACGCACCACTATTGGTGAGGCGTGTGTACTGCCGTACAACACTCTACACTTGTTTGGGAGGGTTGGTCTAGTGCGCGACCCGCGCTTTCCCTGCTAATCAATCTGGTCCCATCACACGCGTTTGAGTTGCCTCTCAAGGCACGAACGGCGAGTTGAGGTAGGGGCCGTTTAGATGACGGCGCCACTCCCTTCTCTGGGAATCACCGGCGCCCGCCCGGACTCAAAACGCGCGAGCCTACCGCAGGTAGACTACACAGTCTACATTTTTGTATTTTTCAACAGTAGCCAAAAAAAGTACAACTTCCCACTTCTATTAATAGTAGGCGAGTGGGCACGTGCGTGCGTATGCTGGCGCGGCCTTGTACAACTTGCGCTGTCCGCCAATAATCAAATCATATTTGTCGTGGATGATGACACTGACACTCAAGCTCCATTCAGTAGAATATTAGTAGTTAGTGTCGTCAGACAAGGAATTGTTGCGTCCGTCCGTCCGTCCTCTTTCAGGCCTACACCAGGTAGACTAGTAGGTATCGTGATATTGTCGCTCAGCACGACCGACTGCCGTGAGGCAAGCGCCAGCAAACCCGAACAATTTAGACTGATTGCTACACAACAAGTAAAGTAGATGATTCCACACCACCCACCTTACTTACTCTTCCTTGGTTAAAAAAATGTATGTGCAATTCGCAATTCTTCGCCTATTATCTATACTCCTCCTCTCCTCGGCAATAAATAAATACAAAGAAAGTATGTCAACATAGACTAGACATAATATTATTTGGCATATATATATACATATATCTACAGCAGCAGCAGTATGCATGATGCATGCTATCATCATATCCTCTTTGCATAATAATAACCAAAAGGTTCCCCTATTCCGAAGTAATTAAATTCATCTTCTTGGCAGAGAAAACACCATCATCATCAATCATCAGCAAGCAGCCAAAATATCGCGCAGTTTGCATCCAGTTGAACATACATGCATTATTGAAGGTCGACAACAAGGAGAATATGGGCGTTTATTTACCGGTGACTGACGACGTCAAATAAATGCATCTCGCATCTGAGACCGGGTGTAGTGTGTGTGTGTTCTGTTGTCGAAATTGAACGACGAGTTCCGCACAGACAGGCAGGGGTGTGCCGCGACGTCAGGCGCATTGCGCCTGACTGACTGTGAGCGCTCGCTGCGGTGCCTTAGGGTATAACATGGAGTAAGTATATAATAAACATCAACAGCAGTCCCAACAATATTATATTTTGTTCTCTGTATTTATTTGAAGTGGGCCGCTCTGCCGATCTATGGTGAGGATTTGCTTGCAAGGCAGCCAAGCAGGGTAGGTAGCAAGCACGGAGCCTAAGCTGCGCTGCTTTGCGGTGTAACTCTCATTTAGTTGCAGACAGACATACATATAGCCTACATGCATACATACATATATATGCATACCACATCATCATTTGAGAGAGCAGCAGCAAGTGGCAATCAACAACTAACTAACCGCTTGGTTGGTACATTCTATACATATTGCACATGTACCACCTGCTTGCATCAAGGATCGCTCCAACAAAAAATACTGCTCCGCGTTGAGAGCGCCGGAAGAAAGCGAACGAACCCATCCATCTACACCGCAGCGGAGGAGCTAGAGCGCGATGATGTACGATGTACTGCTGTTTTTGTTGCTGCTGCTGTACGATCTCACTCTTACCTGCATCGCCTCAGACCACGCCCGTCACAACTCCTCCGACGCCTAACGCAGCGGTCGCAGCTCTTCTTGAGCGAGACCGTCCGGCGTACACCGAATACCACCATTGTTGTTGTTGTCGTCTAAAAATTGGACTCCAGGTCCACGGGAGAACTCTCTCTTCTTCTGTCTGGCACAAACCCTTGTTGTATCCAGCTTGCCCATGAACTGCCTGCTGCCTGATTGTTGGCGAATTAATTATTCTTCTGCTGCGTGTGCCTTCTTCAACGCCCCATTCCTGCTGCTGTCGCCCCTCCCCGCGGCTTACTGTTTGTGCTACTCCCCCCTCCCGGTCCTCATCATAGATAGCACACACACACACGGGCGCACTGAACTTTTTTTTTTTTTTTTCACTTCAAATCAGCGCTCACAGCTCACAGCACAGTGCCGTTTACTTCAACCCGTCGTGGTCACACAGAAGAGCACCTCTCTCTCTACTCTCCCCTCCTGCGTGCGGTACGTTGCCTTCGATTTTAATCGAGAAGAGTTCAGCACTCTCTTCCCTCTGTGTACACACGAACTAGCGCTATCCACTAACTAGGTAGGTCATCAGGAGCGGAAGCGAGAGACAAACTCACTTTGCAAGAAAAGCTCGCCTACGTCGGGATTCGAACCCCTGACCTGACCTCTAGAAGGTTTCGAGGATACCAACTAGACCACCGGGGCGACCGAACTGGTTGAGTCTGAATGAAAGTGAGTTGCTGTGCGGGCCTATGTATGGATGATACACCATTAGCGGCCAATCGACCAATCGAGACAGGAGTACCGACGTACCGACCAGTAAAAAACGCACGTACGATTTACTCATCGTGATGGCAACTTGCCCGAATTGAACAACGACCAGATTCATTCCTTCCGGACACCAGCGGTCGCTAAACCGGGCCCGGCCCACCACACTGCTGGACCATACTATACTGATCCTACAACAAGATATAGAACCCTGCGAAAGGGCAGTGGCGGCGGCCGCCATGGGGCAGGCGCTCACACACACACAGCTGGAACCGGGAACGAACGGTAGTCTTTCTTTGAGGTCTTGCGTATATTTTCCAGCTAGCTCCAGCTACAGTAGTTTTAAGTTTTAAACATTGATAGATCTTTAGGACTAACGCCGTCTGATTGGTCGGGTGTCGGGTTGTTTGGCGTTGGTTCTACCGGTCGATTCCTCTCCAGCGCCCTCTCCCCGTTCCGCATTCCGAGCACGCGGCGAGCACGCGGCTGCAGCCGCGTGCTCGCCCAGTTCGCGGCCACTATGTAGGCCGTGCATTGGCCGTGGGTGAAAGTTAGGGTGGGTTCTTGTTTTCTGACGTTTGCATGCGCCTTTTTTTTTCTCTGTTGTTGTGCAAAGGTGCGCAAGAATGGCAGATCTTTATTCTTGGTTGGACGTACGTATGTGTAGTATGCATGCAGCTGCTTGTACCAGCGTACTACTTTTAGGACAGGACAACAGCAGTCAACTGCTGTTTGCTGCGAATCATCACTCACTCACGCGACGGTCCTCGCCTACGTTCATCAAAGTACGTGTTCGAACCCCGATAAATTGACGACGCCTTCATCTGTTTTTCAATTGCTTTGTTTGGTGGACAACACAGCCTCTGCTGCTCTGGCTTACCGTATAGGAAACAAGATAACACACCCCCTGGACCGATTTTCAAAGCTCGATTTACCGACAGCAGGAAGAGTTGCAGCGCCGAAAACGGCGGAGTTGACACCGTCTGATCGAGAGCTCTCCGAAAAGCTATCGTTTCATTTTCCTCTTCGTCGTGGAGTAGTCGAGCTTTGAAAATCGGTCCAGGGGGTGTGTTATCTTGTGTCGGGACTTACTAGACTACGCGCAACCCCATGCGACATCAAAACCGATGCGTTTGTGTTGGGTCCTCGTAGTGATCGACCACCAGCGGGGGTACACACTTCCCAGAGGAAAGCTCAAGACGTTGGATCAACAAAGACAAAAGTAGTGTCGCCTCTTGTTCAATGCTTGTGTAGATTCCAACGGACGAAGGGGGGTGCCTCACTCCCCTCGAATTTGTTCTTAAAATGCAACAACCCGCCGTTGTAGGTGGCGTGTGTCCCCTCCCTCCATCATGCAACTCACTTTTGTTTGGTACAAACACGCTCAAGCTCTCTGTCACCGCTGTGTAGTGAAATGGGGAAACAGCATCCACGTATACAAGCTCATCCTACAAAAACCCTGCAGTACCCTGCAGTCTTGCACGTAGCAAAACATGTGGCAAAAACTGCACGACAAAAGAAATCGTTCTGCTAGACATCACCTCTTCGGAAGAAAGAGACATAGATAGGGATAAAAAAGCAGACATTTGTTACTACTAACCTACTACTGTATATTGACAAGACCACGCAAATCTTTTCCAGCGTTCGTTTCCCTCCTAAATCTGCCGCGCTGGTACCACTACAAAAATGGACGGGCAGAAGGCCTGTTGGCGATGTTCGACAAACGTTGTGCACGCACTCGTGTATCCAAGCGCCTCCCCGGTACCCTCACCCCGTTCCTGAACAACGCTTCACACAACGATAAGAATCACGGTCTGCCTTTCCTCTCCCGCTTTGGCTTTTCGTTCTCCCGCCAAACCAATACAAAGACGACACTTCCTGGCATGCATATCATTGTACTCCTACACGCACGCGCGCGCGCGTTGAAAGATAAAAAAGATACGACTAGAAAATTCCAGTTGGAGTTGCGCACAGTACTTCGCCTGAGCGGGCACCCGCTTGCCTTGGGCGCGACCAACTCACCATTTACTAGCCTGTGATACACCTCAACTCACCATTCACTAGCCTGTGATACACCTCATACAACCAACGCACCATCCGGTGTTCACACATCTCACACCTCCCTTTTCAGACATCAACAATCGCAGACCCCCCGCCGCTCCTCTTCGGATGGTCGGTCTGGCCTGCGAACGGGGCTCTCAACGGAGCGCGGCGTTACAGCTGAGGCGAGGAAGCAGCCTGGCAACAGCCGGGGGAGCACTCTTGAAGACGGGCAACACAAGCCAGAGACGACCAAACCCATCCTGCCAGCGTCACCCTTCCCAAACACTCCGAACTCTGCTTGCTGTTCGGCCTTGCCGACGTCTCGGGGAGATAGATACATGCACGCCGTTTGTCCGAAGTGTTGCCGTAGCAAAGGTAAGCCGCGGCGGGACCCTGAGTTTTCGTTCGTTGTCCCATTGTCAGGATTCTACCCGTATTTCACATTCCATCCCGTGCCATTGTCAGGATTCCATCCGTACTTCACACCGTCCCGCGTCGTGACACGGGATGTACCGCTCGCTCAGCGCGTCTGCTCCGTGACCTTGGAGAGCAGGTCATCCGCCATGTCCCTGGCATCTCCCAGGAGCATCTCCGTGTTTTTCTGTCGCCGTCACAAAAAAAAAAAAATGACGTCACGGCAGGGTGGGGTATCAACGAAAGAACGTATGCACAACGGGCCAACAAACGAGGAAGAACCGGTTGGAACAAGGCCCGGGAAAGGGGGGGTAACCTGACGCAACGGAAGCAGAGCTAACGACACCATTTAAAAGAGGACAGCAACCAGTGCGAGAGGGGCATCGCCCCAAAAGGCGTATATCTAGAGCCGATGAACAGTGTCTGCAAGCGCCACCTGCAAGCCACCAACCCGCTCCCTACCGAGGGTGTTGACAAAAGTTTCCCATGTATGCGCGAGTAGAGCAGTCAGTACCTTGTAAAATACGGGGTTGTCCAGCCCGGCGTATCCTGTTGCCATGGACCGCTTGATGACGACGCAATCCTTGGCATCCCAGACCTGAGAGACGGCCCGCAACGTTCGGCGACCGCGGTCGCGCAAAAAAAAAATGATCAGAGGGATGGGGGCAAGGGGATTAGTAGGACCCCAAAAAACAGGTGTCAGGGCCACGGAGGGAAGGAAGGGTGCGGGTTAGCAAACCACAGGAGTCGGTCGGGTACATGTACCGTGTGCGACGCAAGATAACACACACTCCAATACGCAATACCGCACACAGACTGACGCTATTTTTTCGGGTCAACAAGAGCCCGAAACAACAGGCCCATTCTCAAACCAAGTCCTAGGCGCCGCATGACGAAACACTGGCTCATTCTCAGACCAAGTACTAGGGCGCCGCATGAAATACCGCACCCCCCTCTCACAGTATCACACCCGGTGCAATGATTTTTCTAAAACAACGTAAATCACCGGGGGGTGTTTTCGTGTCAAGATCGGTGCCGGTGCTGTGCTGTGCTGCATACCTACCGCCCTGGGTTTTCTTGATACTCTCCATCAAAGCCCGCAGCCCCACCCGCAGCGCAAAAAAAAACACAAAAATACCGCCAGTACCTCCTGTAAGCATGGAAACATGCACCATACCTCGTTGTCCACCCAACGGAGCATCGAAGCCGAAATCAAGACATTAACTAAACTAGTCAGCGCTTACTAGTCTAATGGTTTGATCTCGGCGGCACGAAAAGAAAGCTTTGGCCCGTTTTGTATGTTGCGCCCTCAAACACCCACGGCACTTATGCTTCCTTCCAGTCGTCGTGTAGACCGGGTGGTAACCGACCACAACATCAGAGCTCGGAAGGTGCGGACGAACCTTTAGGACCGGCATGCCGTAGATGGCGGAGTTCTCGTCGTCCTCCGCCGCGGAGTTGACGCAGTCGTTCGAACCGATGACGATCGCCAGGTCCGTCTCCTTGAAGTCGTCGTTGATCTCGTCTGAAGAGGCAATGCAGAAGCAGCAGCAGCAGCAGCAGCAGCAGCAGCCGACGCACGCATACGTACGACGAGAGAGGTGGGGATCAGAGAGATGGAGGATGGAGAGAGAGAGAGAGAGAGAGAGAGAGAGAGAGAGAGAGAGAGAGAGAGAGAGAGAGAGAGAGAGAGAGAGAGAGAGAGAGAGAGAGATGGAAACAGAGGAACGGTAATGCTGACGAGGGTGAACGCACACAAACAATAGAGCCAGCCCGACGTCGCGTTGGTGCTATTTACTACGCACATGTTACGAGAGCACGGTCGTGGGGCCGAAAGCAAAACAGTAGACAGCATTTCCAGACACTTCTCGTTGTGAATACAAGTCGTCGTCTGATAACGGGGCCGACGGGTACCCAACTCTGTATGGGCGGCGGCGCGGGTAGTATCAAGTGGACAGCCGCGCGGTACTGAGACGATGTAGATCCGGTTCCAAATTCTCGCGTCATCCCGGCAAAAAACTTGGGAACCAAAAAAGTCCACGGTCCTCGTGTCGAAGCGAACGGTACTCGTGGGTGCTGACCATACGCTGACTGTTCGACACAAAGATCCGCTCATCGACACTCCCACGTATCTCCACGCCTGTTCGCGCTCTAAGCTGTAGCAAAATCCATAGCCAGCCCCAACGCCGCAGCACGGGGCGTTCCACGAACCACCAGCCCGGACAACATAGTCCCCACTCCACTATCAAAAACACAACAGCGGTGGCAAGGCCGCCTACTCGCTCGAGAGCGACCAGAGAGACGAAAGCATGAGAGGCAGCAGCTACAGTACAAATATATGCACTGAGCACGTCGCTGCTGACTGAGTTCCTTCGACAAACATCGCGCGGCACTCGGCTACCCGCCTCACCGAGAGCTCCTCGACGGCATGCCATGGCACTCTGCTACACAGGCGGCCCGCACTCTTAGAACTTGGGAACTAACAAATTCGGTCTCAAAAGAACAGACGAGTTAATAATTTGGCCGCGCTCATCCAATAAGCTACACGGAAGACCTGCATCTTAATCGTCGTCGGGGTTGTAGTCTAAACCATCAACCAAACAAGAAAACGGGGGAGGTCTACCCATAGACAAAACGAGAAAACGGGGGAGGTCTACCCATGGACCAAAAACGAAACGAGGAGGCTCGGCAAAAACACAAAATAGGTTCTTCAAGTGCGTGCGGGCCCCTATAGTATAATAGCTGTACCCGACTGACTCACCGAGCTCCTCGACGACGTCGTACGGCACCCCTGCCTCCGCCAGGAGCACGTTCAGCTGCCCGGGCATCCGCCCCGCGACGGGGTGTATGCCGAACCT